TGTCCGTCTCCTTCTTGTCATCCCTATACTTTTGCTCGAGCCTTACCTGCACCTCATAGCAGTGTCTCTCTCTCTCGGGCTGAGAAGGAAAGGGTTTTACACCCCTGCTTTTGTCCAGGCACAGTGATGGTCAGGCCATGACCAAGACATTCTACGTCCAGGGCGTAGAATGAGCACACAGTACAGTTACTCCGCGATCCCTCTGCTGCTCCGCCTGGAGGAGCTGGTTTGCAAATGGAGGCCTCTTCTCCTCACAGACACCAAGAGGCGAGGCTAAGGGAAGACTCCAGCTGTCAGGAGAAACTGGAAACCTGAATACACCTGGGTCGGGCCTCTATTTATGGACTACAGGTAGACTTGGGACATCTGATGCTGGGGGAGACTGGGGGATGGCAGGCAGCCCTCCCGAATCCTCTGGCCTGAATGAGAAGCGGGAGGGGTGAAAGGATGGGGGTCTCCTTGAGGCAGGGGTGAGGCTGCTTTTGCAAGCTGCCTTCCTGAGGCCCCAGTTGCACAAGGCTCCATCACATGGGCTTTGCTGCCACCATAAACAGCCTGTTTTGTCACTTCCCTGCTGGGGCTGGGCTGAGCCGCCTCTGGCTCTCCCACCTGTCAGCTGCCTCCTCACCCCCCTCATCCCCCCACCCCTGCCACCGTGCGAGATGCCACTCCTCCCAATACCCTTCTACACCCAGGCCTCAGGGCCGGTGCCTCTCTGGGCCCAGCTAGGTAAACCTGTCCCCGCCCTGCTGCCTGGCAGCCCCTTTGTTGGGTCCCAGAGCAGACTGGTTTTCTCTGTGAAAACAGAGACAGAGCAGGTCTGACAGGGGTGCTCACGGGGACTGCAGGTCCGGCTGAGACACATCTGTCCCTGGGGCAAGGCACATGGCACAAAGGCACCAACACAGGGTCTAAAACTCCAGACCTACCACTTCAAACTGTGTGAGCGCGTGGTGGTCACACACCTCCCCCAGGATCAGTTTGCTGAAGAGAGCTGGTTCTGCTCTTGTATCCGCCCTGGAATCTGGCTCAGAGCCAGTAACTGGGTCCCAGCTGGCAGAGTCAGCTTTGTCCCTGTTTGGATCCTTGAGGACTGACGCCCTCTGGAGCCTCCAGCATCTCAGCCCCTAGAGAGGTGTGGCAGCTTGGAGAATCCCCACCACACCCCCAGGTTAGTTGACCACATCTGGGCTGGACATATAGCAGGCACTCAATAAGTGTTTGTTAAAGGATTGCATGGCACAGAACTAGAGCTGGGAAACACCCTTTGCCACAGGCATGCCCTCCACTTTGTGTTCTGCTGAACCAACCACAGCTCCAAGACCAGTTTTGTTGCCTCCTGAGTCCTGTCCTTCCAGGATATGCTGGGCATCAGTTCTCAGCTCACCTCACAGGCTGAACTGTCCCAGACCTTCCTTTTGGATGTTGCCTGGTGCCCATGCCCCTGGCTGCCTCTACCCCTTGCAGAGCCCCTGACCCCTGCCTACGGTGGGCCTGCCTTAACTTCCTGTAACTTTAAGGCACAGTGCCAACTCTGCAGGAGACCCACACTGCCCCTCTATCCAGCTCTGCCCACCACAGACTGCTTCCTCTCCACCATTTGGGTTCCTGGCCTTGACCAGCAGGCTTCTAGGAGAGCGGACACCTGGGTGGAGCTGGACCAGACAGGTCACACTGAAATGGGGGCATCTAAAGTTCTCTCTGGCTGTTTGCTGAGGCCCTGGAGTGGTCAGTACTGTGGACCAGGCATTCCAGGAAGAAGGAACTCCCAAGCAAGGCTTTAGATTCCCTTGGAATCCAGGCTCTTGGCTGGGGAGAGGCGGCTGGGCCTCAAAGAGCTGAGCCGGAATGGAGCAGACTCTACCTAGAGACCTGAGGCCACTAGGCCAGGGAGGAGCAGGTCAGCAGCTGAGCTCTCTGGCTAGCCCCCACGGCCTCACAGGAAGGTATCCTCAAATATGGGCTGCCCCATTACTCCACGCCACCTCCCCACTCAGGGCTACATCAATTCTGGGCACTCTCCTGGATTGTCCTCCAGGTTGACCTTGCCCTTAGCCTGAGGTTGTTCTTGTCCAAATCCTTCCCTCTCATTCTAGGCTCAGGCCCAACGACATTCCCAAGGTTGTCTGCTCTTGCTGGAGCCTGCCAACCCTGCCTGCCCACTGAAGAAAGAGCACCATGACTTCTCCTGACCTTGGACAGACCTGGCCGCATAGAGAAGGCCTGGGCATCGTGCCCTGAGCCACTGGGTGTGGCCTTGAAGGCAGCAGAAGCAGAATTCTTCACCTTCCTAAGCCCCCTCATGCCCTCCCTGCCTCCCTCTGGGTCATGTCCAAAGGGCAAGCTAAGATAATAATTCCTGTAACTGTGGTGTTGTTAACAGCAAATGTTTTTTAATGCCTTCTGTGTGCCAAGTTCTCTGCGTGGTGCTGGAAAGACATAAATAAATAAGACGGACACAGCCCCTGCCCTTATGGATGACGCCTGGACCCAGCCCTGAGCACTCAATATATATTTATGCAGAGAAGAAGAATGCGTGAAATAAGCAGTCTGGTTATTCCCAGCAGCACAGACACCTGATGGATGTGCAGTAAATACGTGAAGGCCACCAGGGCAGGGGTGATGTGTGACCTGGCCACCACACATCCCCACCTTGAAGAGGGCTTCCAGACCCTGTGACTGCCTTATGACTTGATATTCCAGCACGATAGGGTCTCAGCAATGCAGCAATCTCCCAGGACCAAGGCCATTACAGGGGGAAAGGAAATCTGAGGGCTTCCTTAAAGAACTTTCAGGAGAGTTGGAGAAGCCATAGAATCTGCAGCTTGTCTGACCTGCTGCCTAGAACTCAGTGTACCTTACGAGTGGGTTCACAGTATGGCCCCTATGAAGGGCCACCCCCAAACTCCAGATACACAACCTGACCTGGCATCTCCCCTGTGGGAAGGCACAGTCAGAAGTAAGCCTCTGATGTTCTCTTAAGTCAGGGATGTCATCATGAACTCATGTGAGGGATGACTGGCCTGGATGCGGATCCTGCATCATTGCAATCTGTCCAGAACGCTGCACGATGAAATGGGGAAGTTTATGGACCAGATTCTAAAAAAGTCATCCAGAGTCCCCACCCCACCTCCACCTCCAACCCTGTGACAGAAGCCTTTGGAGATGGATTACACTGCCCAGAGACTCAGGGGCCAGGAAGGTCACACTCAGAAGGACCACTTCACATTCTCCCGGACAGAAGTAAACGGGTAATGAGGGAATTTCAGGATGGAGGCGAGGAGTGTGGGCAGTCTTTGGGATGCAAAATTGGGGGAAGCAAGCAAAGTATGAAGAGGAGTTTCAGGAATTCACTTTGGGATGCATTGGGCGGAAGCTTCCACAGACCCCTGAGGATCCCGTTCCCCAGCAAAGGTCTGTACGGTTTACATTCACCAGGACTCTTGGAGCCAGGCTGACAGGCCTCTGACCACAAGCCATGCTGTACACCAAACCCTCGGGACAGCCAGTGATAAGGGATGGCTGCCCCCCACTCTCTACCCCATTTAGTAGGGTTTAAGTCCTGGGAAACTTCTGGCCTACAGACATCAGAGAGACCATGCAGTGACCAGCTCTCCTGCTGGCCCTTCCACCTTTCTCCACTTGTGGTCTAAGTCTGCATGGGGCTGAGCAGAAACCTCCTCCACGACAAAGTGATGGAGAACAGCACAGTGGCTGGTGCTCTAATGGATTCAGACATGCGCCCACACACACACACCCCAAATGCACTCCCATATACACCCTGCTACCACACACCACTTGTTTCTCTCCCAGTGAAGAGATAGCAGCATCTTGCCTCCCACGGAGGCACCCACATTCTACCCTGAAGGGCCACTCCCTTCCTTGGACTGCCCTAGGTTTGTGCCTCTCAAGCAGTTCTCCTTTTTGGGGGTTGTCAGAGACCCAGCGGACTCATTTCATCCCACCACCTGTGAGGAGCCCAAGAGCAGGGTCCTTATCACAGCTTGGCTAAAAGGACACATAAGGTTAAGGATCTGGGCTAAATGAGAGGCCTCCACAGGGTCTGGAAAAGTAAATGGTGTCTCCCTGATGTAGCCAGACAGAAGGGCCCGGAGAACCGGAGGGAGGTCAGTGGGGCCATGGCATCTGCATTGGCTGTTCAAGTACATCCCCGGAGGATAATGGTTGGGAATGGAGAGAAGACCTTGGAGAGAGAAGGGCCCAAAGTGAAGAGCTGCATATATTTCTTCCCTTCACACTGCACAGCCACGACCCCAGCCGCTGCAGCTGCTCCTTTCTCAGGAGACCTGGGGAAACAAAGCTCCTGGCAAAGGAGGAGGGGAGGGGGCTGTGCAGACAGGGAGGTGGCCTTCGAGGAGCCTGCAAGCAGCAAGAGAAGACCTGAGTGTCCTGGGGAAGTAGGGACACCTTGCTTCCAGATACAAGTCAGGGACCACCTCTTCCAGGAAGCCTTACTGGCCTCCACAAACTAGTCTGAGGACCTTTCTGTGCCCACTCCCATGCTTGGCGCTGCCTGCTGTCGTCTTGGGTCTGCGTCCCTGGCCCAGTGCTGCTCAGGCCCCTGGTTCAGAGGGTTCTTGGTTCAGAGGGCTTCTCACACGGGAGGATGGGCCGCGGGTTTGCCAGTCGGGCCCATGAGGAGGTATCTGAGCTGGGCGTAGCCCCATCCCCCAAGTGGGCCCTCCATCCCTCCTCCGGCTGGAGCACCTTCCCTAAAAGCGACTTCAAAGGGCCGGTGTCGACAGCCGGGTTTGGGTCCGCGGACGGCAAATCCGAGGACCGAGCAGGATCCAGGCCGTCGGAGCCGTCCGAACTCGGGGGTCTCAGAGCTGGGCGGGGGTGCCGGGTTGCAGGCAGCCGAGGCTGAGGGCGGATCCTCAGAGCCCCCCGAAGTGGGAGGGTCGGGCCGGCCGCGGGGCCAATCCGGGCGCGCAGGGAGCGGGGGCGGGGGCTGGGACGAGGGGGACCGGGGCGGGCTGGCCGGGGGCGGGGCGCGGCGTCCAGGCGGCGGCGGCGGCGGCGGCGGCTCCTCAGAGTCCGGTTCAAGCTCCGGCTGCGGCTCCGGCCCGCGATGCCCCATTCCGTGACCCTGCGCGGGCCTTCGCCCTGGGGCTTCCGCCTGGTGGGCGGCCGGGACTTCAGCGCGCCCCTCACCATCTCGCGGGTGAGTCTGGCGGCTGCGTGGCGGCAGGGCGGTCCCGGGTCTGAGACTCGGTCCTCGCGGTCCGCCCGGGACCCAGATCCCCGATGTATCCGAGGCTTGAAGGTGGAGGGTGGGCCTGGGTGCCCCGCATGCTGTAGAGGCGGCTTCCAGGCAGGGCAGGCAGCCGCAGCCGCCCTCCTCCCACGCTGGGCCTGTCTGCCAGATCCCGCGGAGAATCTCCCAAGAGTTCACGCACCGACCTCCCCGCTGGCCTCATCTGGGGGAGCCACTGTGGACCCGGGAAGGACCCGCGGAGATGGGCCAGGGGTCTAGACAGCTCTACAGAGGCCCAGAAACTTTTCACTCACCCCTGCCTGAAGATCTGGGGCAAAATGATTTAGAATCCCCCCTTCCCCTATCAGGGGTCCCTGCTGGCAGAGCTGGGTGACCCAGGGAGGTCTGGGGTCCTGGCTGAATCTGAGAAGAGAAAGGTCCATCCGCTTCCCACTTTGGGCATGAGTCAGTCTCTCATTCATGACCTCAGTCACCCTAAGGGGAAGTGACCAGGAGGAATTCTGGCTTCCAGGGGAAAGGGAGACTTGACTGTGAGGTTGTGAGACCCCTCCCCACAAGACGACACAAAGCCTAGGGTCAGGACAGCCTCAGGCCTGTTCCTCAAGTTTCCCAGGGCCCTGCCTTGCCCACGGAGAAGGAAAAGGAGCGGGCACAGCCCTGGAGCCTGGCTAGTCTGAGCATAGAGGAGTGGAGGAGGTGACTCAGGCCCTGTTCAAGGGGGTGCCTGTCTAGGGGAGACAGGATCCTGGCCCAGCCTTGATGTCCTCGTGTCTGGAGGGCCAAAAGAGAGGACTCAGACCCTGCCCTTGGGGGGCCCCAGCCTAAGGGACAGAAGAGGAGAGAACCCAGGCCCTGCCCTTGGCGGCTCTCAGTCTGGAAGAAGCAGAGGAGATGACCTGAAACCATCTGACGGCCATCCCTTGCTCCTACACAGGCTCATCTTGTCTTTGGGGGCCTGTGTCAGAGGCACAGAGAAGCACCTTCCCCCACCCTACTGCCACCTCTTGCCGTGGGGGCTGGGCCAAGCCGGCTGGGCTTTCAGAGACTTCTCTCCAGTTCTTGGGAGGGGGTGGGCACCAGGTGGAGCATGGAATCATGGAGTCCCGTTTCTGGGGGCCAGGGTGACAGGCAGGCCCAGCTGTCCTAGGAGGCTTCCCACATCTGCCCTCACTGCCAGGTCCCTGGGGCTGAGTGAGGTGGGCCTTCAACACATCCCAGAGCCTTTCATCTCCCTCTTTCCTATTGGATTCCTGCTGTGTGTGTGTGTGTGCAAGCCTGTGTCTGCTTGTGTGTGTCATGCTGTGTGTCCGCTGAGGGGGCTGGTGGGGGCACTAAGCAGGCTGGCCAGGCACCCTGGGCGTGAGGCCGCTGACAGGCTCAGTGGCGGCGGCTGACGGCTGCAGGCGGCAGGGAGCTGAGACATCTGTTGCCCACGCGGCTGCCTGCCCGCGGAGGAAAGGCCTCCACACGTCACAGCCGTCACAGCCTCGGCTACGGCAGCAGCAGCAGCAGCAACGGCCTTGTTTGGAGCTGATTGGGGATGCAGGCCCCAGGCAGGCGGGCAGTCTGGGAGAAGGTTTGCCAGGAAGAGCCTCCCTTGTCCCCCAGAGTCACATGGCAGCAGCTCAGGCCCTAGGAGCCAGGATGGCTGAGGTTGGGTTTGGGTGGGATCTGGGGAGATTTACAGTGCTGGGGAGGCACAGGCCACAGCTTGCCTTGCAGGTACCTCCGGGGCAGGTCTACAGGGACTGAAGATATGTGGGAGTGTCTTCACCAAGGGGGCTCAAGATCCAGCCCCTCCCTTGCTTCCAGGACTTCCCCTACCCAGGACCCAATAGGGAGGGACAGCCTCACGCAGACAGGGAGGAGGCTGTCAGCTTGGCAGGGCTGGGGGCTTGCAATCTCAGCCGATGAAGCCTCGGGGAGTCCCAAGAACATCATCTGGGGCTCCTTCCCCACAACCTATAATGATGGCTGGCCTTGGCCAAGCATCCAGGGTGTGCCAGGCCCCACCCTAATGCGTGTTGTTAACAGCTCCCTCCAGTCCCTGGAATGAGCACCACCTTATGTCCAGCCTCCTGTGGGGGCTTTACACGCTCTGATTTTCTCAAGTAGTCCTTACAACAGCTTTTAGAAGTAAGGACTCCCTCTGGCCTTACATAGATGGAGACCCAGGCACAGAGAGGCTAATGTAATCGACCCAGAGAAGCAGAGTGGAGACAAGAGGAATCCAGGCAGTCAAGTTTGCTGTGACTGTGTAGGACAATGTGGCACCTGGTTCTGACTTGGACTCCTAGCCCACCACAACATCTAGACTGGGTGGATCAGGGGCTGGGAATGCAGCCATTACCGGTGAGGGGCTGATTCATGCCCTCACCGCCCACCTCACTTCACTGTTCTTGTCTCTGTTCCTTCTTTCTGTTTATCCTGTGCTTAGGAGCTAGAGGGATCGGCCTGAATTCCACTCTGTCCTCTGACTTCCCTGCTTAGAGCCCTCCATGGTTCCCAACCACCCAGGAGAAATGCCAGCTTCCCACCCGGGTGTACAAGACTCTGCAAGATCTGTTCCCTGCCTGTTCTCTGACTTCATCTCTTCCACTCTCCCCTCATTCGTGATGCTCAGGCCATACAACCTTCCTTCTACTTTCTCTCCAGATGTGCCATTATACATGCTGGTCCTTCTGCCTGGAACACTGTCTCTCCCTCGGATACCCTCTTTTCCCTTACCCCTTTTGGAAGAAAAGTACAGGTGTTAAAAGCGTAGTTTTAAATTTGGAACCGGGTGGCCTGGATTGAAATCTTGATTCAATCTTTTATCAATTAACTATCCTTCTGTACTTCTCTGGACCTCCATTTCCTGATCTAGGAAATGGGCTTGCCTTCAGGATTAATGAGATAATGCATGTCAAGGTGGCTGGGAGAGTCACAATTTCTTGGCCTCACGCCCTCTCTGACCAGAACTCCCCTAGCTCAATAGAGCTGGCAGCATCCCAGCCACCCCTGCTTTCAAGAAACTTCCTCCGCCCACAGAAGCCTGAATGCACCCCTTGTGCTGCCTGAGTCATCCTGCCGCAGTTAGCCGCCCCCTGAAGAAAGACTCCTCTCCAGTGTGGGGACTAAGGCATGGCACCCCTCCCCCAGGCTTCTCTTTCTTCCTCTGTAAAAAAGGGATGAGAACAGCCTCTGCCTCACCAGGTGGTTGAGGGCTTGCTGTGAGCTAGTTATGGGTAAAGCATAGAGCCCAGGCCCTGGCACAAGGCAGGTATCCATGAAGGGGAAGAGGCGGAGGAGGGCCTTGAGGGGAGGGTGGGATGGTGCCAAGTGGGTGTCTCCCCCAGGATGACAGGCTTGCACAGGTGCCCGGGCCCTACAAGTGAACATTCATGATTGCCTGGTTGGCTGAGAGTGTCATGCTTCAGAAGAACGTTTCCTTGAAGCGCCTACTTCAGGGCAGGTCAGCTTGGGCAGTGCCAACACCAAGCCTCCAGCCAAGGAGCTGCCAGCACCTCAGCTTTGTCCACTCACTACTGAGACCTGGCTGAACTGAGCCTAGCTGGGCTTCCAGGAGTTCCCACCAGTAGGAGCTCCCACCCAAAAGAACGAGGTCACTGGCAGCTTTTGAACCAGCTGGGCACTGGCTGGAGAGGCTGGGTAAGAAATCTATTTCTAAAGGCTATGTTGGGGCCAAGGCAGGGTGAGGGGTGCTCCACTGCCTGGATTCCCCTGGGTTGCTTACTTAGGTATCTCTGCGAGTCTAACTCCACTCCCCATCCTAGCCTTCTTCCGTTGACCAGCATTGTAAGAGCTTCCAAGTGTGAACACTGCTTGACCCTGAGAGGTCAGTAGTGGCACTGAGGTAGCCTGAGTTCCTGTCCTGCAGGGGAAATAGAGCTAGAATTCTGACCCCAAAGTGCAGGCTGGCAGCTGGAACTGGATGGCCCTGGACTTGCCCAGGGAGGTGATGTTCAGACCTTCCCATTTTAATTACAATGAAGTATTAACATGAACAATGTAGGGGGAAAGGTGGTTATGGGAGCACACAGGGTAGTGAGATCCCAGAGAGGCTCCCAGAGGAAGTGGCGTCTATGGTGAGATCTGAAAGATGAGGATGTGGGAGTCAAAGGAATGTTCCAGGTAGAGGGAACAGCTTTTGCAGAAGTGTGGAGGTGAGTGACATATGGTACTTCTGAACACCCCATAGACATTCACATGGTCTGGACAGAGTGTGGGTGTGGAGGTGGGGATGAGAGTTGAGATCAAGCAAGTAGGAAGGCAAGATCACTAAGGGTTTGAATGTTAGGCCAAGGGGTTGGTCTGCCTGGCTGGGGCCTTGTCTGTGTAGGGTATCTGTGACACGTCCATGCTCTGTATGTATCTGTGAGCACATATGTCTCCATGTGTCTCTGTGGCCCCTGCATGTCCTTGGGCACACATGCAGGCTGCAAGAACAACATCCACTTGTCCCAGCCCAGAGGAAGCCCTTCTCGTATATCCTCATGCCCTGCCAAGCCTCCAGGTGCTGGAGTTGGAGGTGTTTCCAGCAAGGCTTCAGCCAGGCTACATGGGGACCTCAACCAGCCTCTCGGCTTGCCCATCCACAGGCCATGCTGGTAGCAGGCCACACTGGCTAGGTTCTGAGGTTGGAGGAGGCCTAGAGTAGAGCTTGCAGCAAGGCCACATCATGACTGTGCCCAGTCATCTGGCTTGTCTGCCCGCAGGTCCATGCTGGCAGCAAGGCTGCATTGGCTGCCCTGTGTCCAGGAGACCTGATCCAGGCCATCAATGGTGAGAGCACAGAGCTCATGACACACCTGGAGGCACAGAACCGCATCAAGGGCTGCCACGATCACCTCACGCTGTCTGTGAGCAGGTATGCACAGGTGGGCTGGGCTGGGAGGATGGCGGGACGAGGTGGGCAGTTATGGGCAGCCAGCATCTTGGGTGAGCACAGCTTCACACAGCTCAGCTCCTGGGCACCCCATCCAGGAAGAGTCCCAAGGAGTAGTACTTTCATGGGGTCCTGGCAGACACTGTTTAGAGCTGTAGCTTAAGAAGGGAAGAAATCCCCTTTTAACTTAGACTAGAAGTGTGTTGGGGCACTTACAGCAAGTGTTGCAGGCAACTGAAATAGGACCTTGAATAGTCTCTGGGACATTTGTTTCAGTCCTTTCCCCTCCCCTGAGTGACCAGTGTGATGACCGTTTCAAAATAGTTTCTTGTGCAACACCTCATTTAACCCTCATTTACCAACTTAAAAAAGGTAAAATTTAGTGTAGTCCCCACTTCACAGATGAGACAAGTGAGGCTCAGAAAGGTTAGAAGGTGCTTAAAGTCACATAGAGAGGGAGTGGGGTAGCAAAATTTGACCTCAGGGCTCTCTCCTAAGACTACAGACCCTTTACTTGGCTGCTGACCACTCCTACCAGCCCCACAGCTGCCCTGCCACAGCTGTCCCCACGGTGGCCCACACTCTGCCCTGGTTAAATACGGATTTGGGAAAAGTTCGTGCTATGGACTGTGTAATGCTGTGCAGCCGATCAAGAAGGGAGGACAGGGGGTTGCCAAGCCCCATCTGTGCCCCATAAATGGTCCTGGGATGGAAGGTCCACTGGGGGTGGGGGTAGGGGGACCCAGCCTTGCTCAGGTCCTGGGTCTTTACTCTGAAAAGCAGTTGGACTAAGCCTGGCTGAGTGGGGTCTCCCCACTCCCCTGCCCATCTCGATCCACAGAAGTCAGGCATAACTTATCAGCTCTGCCATGTTCACTGCTGATGGGGACTTCCATGACCACCTGTGGAAGTGTGTGGGCAAAGCCTCCCCAAACCACAACACAGCTAACCATGCCTCTGAGCTGGCAGGGTGGGAGGTGAGCCATTGGCTTGGAGCCATTAAACATAGTGGAAAGGCCTGTGAGGTCGCCCCTTTTTGTGCTTGGCCCATGGCCAGATCGGGGTTGGGGTCAGGGCCCCTGGCTGTGCCCGTGGCACTGAGTGGGCCCAGCTGCAAGTCCAGGACCTTGTATGCTCTACCTGGCACATGGTGAGGATGCTCCATCTTTGGAGTTCAGCAAAGCTGGTCCTCATCCAGCCTCTGGAGCCTTAGGTGCCCAGATGACCTCTATGAGCCCGGGTTTCCTTTCTCATAAATGGATCACATTCATCACCCTCCTCCAGACTGAGATACAGGCTGGATGGGGGAAATGTCAGCACTGCTCTGCCCATGAGTGGCCTCTGAAGCCTCCCCGGCTTGGCTGGGATCCTGGCCTCTGACTCACCTCCAGCCTTGTCTCTGTGTGACTGAACAAGGGCAGCCCTAGTGGTAGTGGAGCAGTGGGGAGGAGTGCCTCAGAGGGGGCCTGAGTCAGGAGCTTCCCAGAGTGTATGATGTCAGGGGAGGGTGGTGGGGTGGAGGTCCCCCTCCTTCTTTCCTTCCTTCCTTCCCCGGTCCTTTGTTCCAAACCAGGCATGGATGGAGCCAGAGGTCCACTGACCTGTTCCACTCTGGGCATTTCAGCCCCAAAATGTCACTGGCCATGGAGCAGATGAGAGCACATTCTCTACTATTACAGAGCTGGGTTGAGAATTAGGCTGTGCTGACACATAAAGTTACCCATAAAAGAGAGAGAGGCAGAGAGAACTCTGCTGTGCTCCAGCAAGTGATTTAATGTCTCGAGCCCATAACTTCCTCAACCAAAAATAGGGACCATCTTGTGATCTGGACACTGAGTGATGATGATGTACCAGGCCTGCTCAGTCAGAGTGAAAACCTGAGTCCTGCCCTGCAGCCCCCATCTCCAACCCTCACGCATGCAAACTGTGGGGAATCAAGACATGAGGGCCACCTTGACCCTCTGAGCCAGCATTTCTTCTACTGGACACTTTCCCACCTGCAAGCTTTCTGACTCTGCTCCCTATCTTGCCTGCTATGCCAGGACCTATGCCTGGGCCCAAAAGACACTCCCCCGCCCCCACGACACACACCCACACAGCAAGGGCTCTGCACAGAATCAGCCTGTTGAGTTGGCTGGAGTGAGCTACTCTGTGCTCTCACTCCCACGGTGACCAGCTTCCCTACCTGCCCTCTTGTGTACAGCGAGCTCTAATCCCCCCACAGACTTCCCCATAGAATGAAAAGTGTATCAAAGGCCCAGCTTCCCCAATGGGCTTGTTTTGTTTTGAGCCCAAAGCCAGGTATCCAACAATCCAAGCAAAATCACACTTCCTGGGCATGTTCTATAGGTCCAGGACCTTCCTGACATCAACTTCAACACTGAGGCCACTGATGGAGTCCCTGTTGTCCATCACATGTGGCCCAAGGTACCTTTGCACAGCCTACTCTTTGCCTGTCATTTTGTTTAAAGAGCCCAGACTGTGATGGGGGTTGACGCATGATTAAGCCTTTCATTCTGATCTGATGCATTGGGCCACATTAATGGCTCTGGGTACTTTGTGCCCTTTGACCCTTAGATGTCAGGCTTTTACTGCTCTTCTGGGCAGAGCTTCAGGGAAGTTTAAGGCCAAATAGCCACACAAGATGTCCCAGCTTTATCCAAGAGAAGCTCTGAGTAGGCAGAGGCCACAGTTAAAGCTGTGAGTTAGGGTAGCCACTTGGGAGCCTGCTTGAGGGGGCTAGAGACAGGGACTATGGGGCTGGTGTTGCCCTGGAGTAGCAGAGCTCTAATACAGAAGGCCTGGAGTAGAGAGGTAGCCTCCAAGGGACTAAGGAATGGGCAGAGGCAAGGAAGTGCAGAGTGAGTATGGACCATAGGTGTAGACAGATTATTAAAACCCTCAACTGAAGGGCCAGAAGTGGCAGGGGTAAGCTACTATGTCAGTAGTGAGACCTCGAGAAGCCTCAGGAGGCTTCGTTGGGTGAGTTGGAGGACATTATTCCCCTTTGGTCTAACCAGCCTCACTTCACACCCACCCACCAGTCCAGGGTCCATGCCCCTTCCTGGCCTGCCTTCTCACAGGGCTACTGAGTGATAGGGCTGGGCCCTAGGCATGTAGCCTCTCGGCCTGCCTGCCCTGCCTATGGCAGGTTTACGATGTTTTTCTCCCTCCTGAGTGGTGTTTGGCTTTTGGTTTCTATGGCGAAGCAGGAATTTCCTAATGGCCTGTTTCCCATCTGGGCTGGGCAGACTCAGTGATGACTCTGCCGGCAGCAGCAGCGGGAGGAAAGACACACCCCTCGGAGCCTCCATTCCACCTACCCCAGAGCTGATGGACGCCTGACCCCACACCCCTCCAGAGGCATCTACGGATGCCCAGAGGATGAGTGGATAGGCTTCTAGCTGGTCAATGTGTGAGGCCTGACTTGCAGTGCTGTAAGCTGGGCCTCTTTGAACTGAGCTTCTGTAGGCCACGAAGAGGGTGGAAGATTAGGGAAGCCACAGGGCTTGTCCTGCAACCTCTCCAGGAACAGACCAGAGAGGGACTGGGCAGCTGATGGGGGCAGAAGCATATAGCCCTGCCCCAGGAGGATGGCAGCTAGAGTTGTGGCTCATTGCCACAACAGTCACCATTGTGGTACAGGGGAAAGCACTGGAGTGGTGTCCTTCTACCTGCAGGGCACAGCCCAGAGCCCAGCCCCTCTTGATCCTGGCTCCCAGGCATGGTGGCCTTGGTAGGAGACATATCTGACCATCACAATTTCTGCCACAGGCCTGAGGGCAGGAGCTGGCCCAGTGCCCCTGATGACAGCAAGGCTCAAGCACACAGGACCCACATCGACCCTGAGATCCAGGTATGTACAGACACTGCCTGGCCTGGCCTGGCTCAGAGTGAGCCCAAGGCAGAGGGGCCAGCATGCAAGTTCACCTGCACTGAGTGTCCTCACTGGGGCTCTCAGATACCCAAGACAAAGACTGAAGCAGAAATTTTCTCTGGACCATGCCCATACCCCATCCCATGTTCCTCAGATGATGAGCACCTGCGTGGCTCTGTCTCTGCTCCAGACAATCCTGGATTCTGGACCTAGGTGCCTATGACGTCCAGGAGCTGGGCTAGGCCTTGGTTTGCGGCTACCACACAGCCAGCTGGAGTTCACTGTGGTGCCCAGTAATGCCAGACCATTAAGAAGTCACTGTGCTTATAGCAGGGGAGGTTGGTGGCAGTCTCAGGCTGTGGAGTGACCTCAGGCTATGGGACACTCCTCTGGGTGCCCTATCCAAGCCTGAAGTTCTCTCCTGGTCATCCTGTGGTGCTTCTAGCAGAACTCAGGCTGCAGGCCTGTTTGCCCAGTCACCTTTCTGTATGTGATAAGAGTCATATCTCTGGTCCTGTCCTCAAGAATAGTGAGGGGATCAGGCTGTTCTAGGGCCTTGTTTTGCCATGGCATGAGGAGTAGCCAAGTGGGGATGGCTGAGGTATCCAGAGCCATCACTGGGCCACAGAGTTTGGGCAAGGAGACTGGGATGGTCTGTGATGGAGCCAGAACCATGGGACCCAGCATGTGGGACCATTGCCTCCTGAGCCTGCCTTTGTCCACCCTCTCAACATGGAAGAAAAGGGGCCAAGGCAAGGAGAGGCTTCACTGAACCAGAGGGAAGGATGTGCCTCAGCTTCTCCCTCACCATCTACCCCAATCCCATCTTGCTCTGTTCCCTACCCTGCCTGGCTGGCATCTCTGAAGCCAGATGCTTACCACCTTCCAGACAGTGCCCATTCTGGCAGGGGAAAGGGACTTAGAAGTTCTGGGCTAGGGGAAGCCAGGGGCCAAAGGAGCCCAGAGTAGTCACATGACTCAGACAAGGAGTCAAAGAGGGCTTCCTGGAGGAAGGGGTATTGAAGCCAAGACCTGAAGGCCTAGGAATGGTAAGGCAGGCAAAGGGGTATAGGGAGAGGAAGTGTGGCCCAGAGGTGAGGTGTTGCACCACAGGTTCAGAGAAAAGAAAGGTCCAGGGGAAGGGAGGGCAAGGTGGGAGGAGTGAGAGGACAGAGGTGAGAGATAAAGTGGTGGGGCAGGACCACAGAAAGGTTCTTGGGCTTCTCTATCCTGGACCTCAGCTGTTCTTACAGGGATCCACGGCCACATCTGTGTCTCAGAAGCTTGCTCTGGTGGCCCTATGGACCCCAGGCCTTAGGGGCAGGGGTACATGTTGGCATAGACAAATGAGCCAGGCTTGCCATGGGCCAGGCAGAGGGGAGCAGCATAGTGCAGGCCCCAAGCTCATGCATGAGGCCCAGCCTCCCTCAGAGGCAGCAGTGCCAGGATGGATATGACGGGGTGGGGAGGGGGTTCAGTCTTCCAGGAGAGGCTCAGGGCCGGTGGGCCTGGGAGGCTGGCGACTGTAGAGCAGCTCCCCCTGCCCCCACACTTATTCTCATTGACTCCCTTGAAGACCAGGCTGCCAGTGGCTCACACTGGAGAAGGAGGGAGTTTCCATAAGCACCAGGGCAGCCCCTCAGCTGCTGCCCCACTTTTGTACTTAAAAGGTCATGGACTCCATGGGTGGTGACAAAAACACTCCCACCCTGCCCCTGCAGGGCTGAGTCCTTACTAACACAGACACAGGGCCCATTGTCCCCATGCTGCTCCCACCCTCTGCCTGAGTGGGGGTGTTGGGGAGGGGGTGGAGCTAGCTGGAGCCATTGAGGAGGAGAAGGAAACCACAGTTGGCCCTAGGACCAGCACAAGGTGCCCTGGCACACATCCCCGAGTGGGATGGGACAGGGCCAGCTGGAACTTCAGGCCCACCTTCCCTCTGGGGCCATAGGAGAACTCCTTCTCTCAGGCCTCCTGCGGGAACACAGGAGGTACTTGGCCTAGCCCCGGGTGGAGGAAGGATGGTAATAAGTCAGGGTTTTCTGGAGGGAATGGCAATTATGCTGAGAACCAGGTGATAGGGAGAAGCAAGTCAGGTGGAGCAGGCAGTCCTTGCACACTCAGCCTGTCCTCCCCAGACCAGCAGAGAGCTAGAACTGAGCCTCTAGGAGGTGGCACCTGCTCATCTGGACTCAGCGCCTGCCTCCAAGTTGAGTGTCCCAAAGCAGGTAGTTACCCCCATCCTGCTGAAAAATCCACTGAGGCTTCAACAACCAAGTGGGCAGCAGGCTGGTTCTCAGAGCAGAGGAGCATATGGTACGAGGTGCACCACCCACAGAGGGGGAAAATCCAGGACTGGGGGCCCAGGAATTCCCCTGACAGCCATTCATCCAATGAGTATGTGCTTTGTGCCAGGCACTGTGCAATTGTCTTATTTCATCACCACAAGGAACCTGATGTGGAAAGCATCACATTCCCCAGCTCATAGATAAAGAAACAGGTTCAGAGAGGTGAAGTGACTTGCCCAGTTAGGGGATAACCCTGGGACTCAAAATAAAACTGAGGTAGCCATGTGTGTCCTAACCACAGAGTTCAGGCCTAGAGAGGCAACTGCATGGGTGGCCGTGGGAGGGACAATGGCTCTGTTGCCCTGCAGTGGACCCCTCCACCCTGCTGGGTAGGGGTGAGTGAGGGCCTCCTTCCTCCCAGTCCCAGTCCCTCCAACTCCTCCCTCCCACCAAAACCTCCACCCAGAGGCCCAGCCCCACCCCCACTGGCCACAGCCCATCTGGTCCCCATTAGAGGCCAGCCCTGCCTGCGTGCCTGCCCGACAGACACATGTGTGAGAGCGCTCAGGTTTCTCAGGGGTTTTTGTTGGGCCTGATGTGAATAAGGGTTTTCCTGTTGCTGCTGCATTGATGGGGGCCACCTGGGCAGTAAGACCCTCCTGTTTGTCTGTTGGGGTGGGGGAAATGGAGGAGGGCCCACCCAACTGCTGGTCTGCCTGTTCCCCAGGTTCCCACCATGCAAAAAGTAGGGGACAGTCAGGGCAGAACCCCGCAGGCTCAACTATGCGTCAGAGCTGCCTAAGTCCAAACCAGGGCTCTTCCCACTACGATAGGCATGTTTTCCTGTCCACACTGCGCTCTGTGTCCACACTGTAGAGCAGAGGAGGTTTACATGTCACTCCCAGGCTGAGGCTAAGACCTACCCATGGCCTGGACTCAGAAGTCATCCTAAAATCATGCTGCTCTGGCTGCTAGCCCAGTCTCAGCCATGGAGGCCACCATGGCCATTCCCAGGGTGACCAGTGCTGACTCCAAGTCTCTGTAACCATGTGCGTGTGGTTAGTTTTATGTAGGAAGATTGGCAGGTGCATATGTGTTGTCCTTATGCATGTGTGTGTCTTTGAAACATACTTGCGAGAGTCTGCATGCCCCTGTTTACATTGCTGTGGGTGTGCTTGTGTGCACTTGCAAGCTGGGAACAGCACAGCTCTGGACTCTGCAGGGACAAAGATCCCCAGTCCCCACTCAGACCCACACACACAGAGATACTGCCCTCTCCTCATGGCTGAGGGGGCAGGTTCAGGACACCCCCCAAAATGTTTCAGCCATGGGCACCAGGCTGGCTGTGGGGTAGTGGGGCAGAGAGCCTTGAGCCCTAGCCTGGTCTCTGCCCTTCATCTGCTGTGCCTGCAGAAGGCTACTCATTGTGGCCTGGAAAGCAGGAAATAGGGGACAGGTGTAGGCCCAGAAGGGGCTGACCTGACAATGGCACTCTTGAGCCTCAGCCTGCCCAAAGGGCCTTGGACACATGACAGTCAAGGACCCTTCCTGGCTGTAGGACAAGAGTTACCTTTTTTAGTTCCCAGCTGTGGGCCCACCCAGTACCCACCACAGTTCAGGCAGGTGAGAAGGCTTGGCACCAGGGCCACTTCTGCCAGAAGGCCATATACCCTGCTGTAGCCACACTGACCTTAGGCTTCTTGGGATAGTCCTGCCCCAGTACTGTCCCTTCATGAGTGGTGGTGGGCAGAACCACTGCAGGGCTCACAAGCTCAGGCTGAGTCTCAGCTGCTCAGGTTTTTGTGTCTGACTTTCCAAGGACATTTCTCATTTCTGCAGGGGCAGAACCAGTCCCCAGGCCCAGTCCTACCCTAGAAATCCCTTCCCTGACTGAGTACCACGGGCCAGAGGTGCCAGAGCAGAGGTAGCCAGCTGGCATCCACCACCTGGCACAGCACAGCAAGGTGGAGGTGGGGTGAACAAGGAATGGCCAGAGGCCAGAGGGTCTCCCAGTGCCTTAGGCCTCTCTCTCATAGGACGGCAGTCCAATAACCAGCAGGCGGCCCTCAGGCACCGGGACTGGGCCAGAAGATGGCAGACCAAGCCTGGGATCTCCATATGGACAACCCCCTCGCTTTCCAGTCCCTCACAATGGCAGCAGCGAGGCCACCCTGCCAGCCCAGATGAGCACCCTGCATGTGTCTCCACCCCCCAGGTAGCGCAGAGATGCCTTCGGTGCCATGCCCAGAGCCCATCTTAACCCTTGATCCCTCAAATCTCACCCAGTCCCATCCTGACCCCTGACACTTGATCCTTGGGTCTCAGCTGGTTGCATTCTGACTCATAAGCCTCACCAGACCCGAGTCCACAGAGTGAAGGCTGGAACTGCATCCCTTCCTCCTCTACTTCTTTCTCCCTCCCAGCGCTGACCCAGCCAGAGGCCTCCCACGGAGCCGGGACTGCAGAGTCGACCTGGGCTCCGAGGTGTACAGGATGCTGCGGGAGCCGGCGGAGTCCGTGGCTGTGGAGCCCAAGCAGTCAGGCTCCTTCCGCTACTTGCAGGGCATGCTAGAGGCCGGCGAGGGTGGTAAGACGCCTGCCACCTGTCCCCACTTGCCTTCCCACTCCTGCAGTGCCCAGGTTGCCCCCTAGCGACCCCACATCCCTCCTCCCAGTAACCTGCCCTCCTCGGTTTCTGCGGCCCGGTCCCACACCCTTGCTACACCCTTGCTACGCCCTCGTTTCGTGATTCCCACTCCACCCCCTGTCGCTGCCCCTCACCCCACGCCCGCTAAACCCATTCCCCAGTCTCGGTGCCGATGGCCCATCCGGCGCCCAACCAAACACCCCGCAGAAATGGAGTTCTGACCTCCTTACCCCGTTCATACCACCTACGCTCCGGGTTTCAGGGGAGCGGCCCGGGCCTGGCGGACCCCGGAACCTCAAGCCCACGGCCAGCAAGCTGGGCTCTCCGTTGAGCGGCCTGCAGGGGCTGCCCGAGTGCACGCGCTGCGGCCACGGCATCGTGTGAGTACCCGCCCCCGCTGCCCTTCCCGGACCCCAGCCCTCCAGGGCCCTGGATGCGGGCGCAGTCGCGAACCCGTCAGTCACTCGACGCTGTCTTCCCCGCATCAGGGGCACCATCGTCAAGGCGCGGGACAAGCTCTACCATCCCGAGTGCTTCATGTGCAGCGACTGCGGCCTGAACCTCAAGCAGCGTGGTTACTTCTTTCTGGATGAGCGACTTTACTGTGAGAGCCACGCCAAGGCACGCGTGAAGCCGCCCGAGGGCTACGACGTGGTGGCGGTGTACCCCAACGCCAAGGTGGAACTCGTCTGAGCTGGGCCCCTGCTCCCGCCCCTGCTTCTTAAGGTCCCTACTCGGCCGGTGTAAATATGTTTCGCCCTGTCCCTCTAATAAAGTTCCTCTGCTCCACCTTGAACCTGTCACCTGGCCTGCCACCCTGCTGCGTAGGCCATGCATGGCTCCCGAGTGCAGTAGCATATGCTCAGATGCCAGGAATGTCCTAGGCTCTGGGTGCAGTGGTGAGCAGGATGGGTACTATGCTGCCCTGAAGGGGGCCACAGCCTGGGTGGAAGGCAGACCTGAATCACAACGGGGCAGCTCTAGTAATACGAAGGTGAGGTCTAGGATGCTGCGTGCGGCGCGACGACAGGAGGTATGACCTGGGTGGGGTCAGGGAAGGTGTTAGCTGAGAACTAAGAGATGAGGGAGGCACGAACTCTACACGGGTGAGGGGGGAAACTGTGTGTGCAAAGGTGAGCGGGGTGTGAGAAAGGCCCCTGTGGCCATCATCGACACTAGCGGGGTGGGGGTGGGGGTGCTGGCAGCCTCTGGAGCGATTGCTCCCCTGGAGAGCGTGATTGAGCGTGGAGATCACCTGGGCCGCCGCGGGCGGTCTGCACTTCCTGGCATTCTCTCTTCCAGGTTTCTTTCACCCAGGAGCACTTTATTCTACCCGGAGACCCCCTTTTCTTCCCCTTCCTCTCTCTCCCACCAGGGGGCGCGCTTAAATTTCCAGACGGAGACCAGAAGGAAGGTTTAGAAAGAAAAGAAGACTTGCCCAGGGCAGCTTTGCCCTCCAAGAGGCTCCCTCCTGTCTCTAAGTCAATTCCACCCCTCCTTGGAGTCCCGGCTTCCACCCCTTCTCAGAGTCCTGGCGTTTACCGCGTGGTGGGTTTGCCTTGGGCCTTTCATGTCCCGGCTGCACACATCGTCTGTGAATTGTGGCTTGTTCACTCCCGAGGATGAGTCCTAGACTCCGGGTCGCGTGGATCTACCCTCTAGTTTACTTGCTCAGGACAAGAAACTGACTCGTTTTATTTAGTGCCTGTTTAGCGAGCCCAGAGTAACATACATTTGTGCTGTTTTCAATTTTGTGCTATTGCAAACCACAAAAAAACTTACCAATTCACATTCATCATCAGCAGGAGACGTTTCCTTGTGCTCCTGCCAACTCAGGATATTACGTTTCTTTTTTCATTTTTGCCAGTCTGTTAAGTAAAATATCATATGCAGTTGTTTTAATTTGCATTTCTCTGATTACCAGTGATGAGCATTCAGTCTTTGAGCATTTATGGTGTGTTTGCTGGGTGCCTAGCACTAAGGGAACAGAATGGTCCTCACTCTCAAAAGAGCAGTTCTTGTGTAAGTTACCCCAAACCCTTCACAATTTTTTTCCGAGACTTATTTAACTTCTTCTTAATGATTGGTAGGAACTTTTCCTAATTTTGTACGAATCTTTGTTACTGGATTCTGGTCATCTAATTCCCTGTTCCTGTGTAATTACTACTGTGTTGGAGTTTAATAGCCAATCTGTCCTCCTTGTTGGTCATTTACAAACATGTCAAAGCTATACTTGTACATTTCCAGTTGCCAGAATTTGAGACTGCATGCTTCAGGTTCTGGAAAAGCAAACCTCTTTGAACTGTGACCAGGTTGCCCTGAATCTAGAGACTCACTTGGGAAGAACTGGCATTAGTCTTTTCCTCCAGAGAGGACTGTGATCTGCACTTACTGTGCATTTATTCAGATATCGTGTCTGTGTTCGCTTAAGTTTTTATTTTCCTTTCTTCTCATAGATCTTCTGTTCATGGTTAAATTTGTGCTAGAGATCCCTTCTAAAGGTTCCTTTTGCCTCCTCGGTTCGCTGAAGGAGCACAGTTCAGGGCAATGGGCAGGTGCTGATAGAGCAGTGAGGCAAGGTGGGGTCCTGGTCCTGCAGGTGACCCCAGACCATGTCCGGTCCTTGTCTCTTTTTGCTTCCGAAGGGGTCAGAATGTGTGCGGCGAGGCCCTGAGGGCGCCCCACCGTGGTGCTGCATAGGCGTGTGCACACACACAGTACACACATGCTCCCCGCAGCCATACCCAAATAGGGTGGGGCAGTGGAGGAGTCTGCCCTTGCCTCCCCACCCTGCCTCGGCAGACTTGATCCCAGCCCCACCCGGTCATAAGTGGGAGAGGAGAGGATGACTGGCACCCTGGAAAGTAGGGAAGCACTATTAGGCACAGGACAGGGTGGAAAAATACCGGGAGCCATGGGCCCTGGCCCCCACCTCTCATTCCCACTCACCCGCAGAAACTCGACTCTCCCACTGGCTACCTCAGATCCACTAGCCGCTGGTACTCACCTTAATCCCAGGACACGCAATAACCCCTTCCCCATGCAGGAACTGCCCACTCAGAGGCTCCCTGCCACCGTAGGCTACCCCGAGATCAACAGCTCCACCCCTGAAGGGTTGCAGCAACTACAGCAGCCCCTGCCTGGGCATCCTGGTTGGGGGTGGCTTGGAGGGCAGCTAAGGGGAGTGACATTCAAAGCTGACAGCCTCATTTGTCCTTTCCCCAGCTTCAAGGCCCAGCCTCTACCCAGTCCCCCAGCCCACCTCTTCTGCCCAGGGCCCCTGAGTGTAGTAGACCGTGGAAAGTTTGGGACAGGGTCCTCATGGGACAAGGTATGTATGGCCCAGGGTCCCAGTACTGAGACACGGGACATCAGAGTCTCTCTCCAAGAGGGGGAACCAGATCCAGGATCCCAATTCAGAGTGCTCCAGGCTCCAGCCTACCTGGCTAGAACCAACTTTCATTGCTGTCCCCAAACCTGCTACATCCCTCCAACCCCAGGGCCCAGTTCTTTACCTCAGGGGCTTTCAAACCAGAGACACGGATATCATCCTCTACACCCTCACACCAGCCATCACATCCTACCCAGCACTGTGTCTAGGATTTTGCCTCCCAAGCATTTTTAGACCCATTTCAGGGCAGCTGAAGGAATCTCTCACTCCCTTACTTCAACTCTTCCAGGGCCCTCAGGATGGAGTCCCTGGTCCTCTCCCTAAAATTTAAAACCTCCCTGACCTCAGGGCCCTCAGGATGGAGTTCCTGGTCCTCCCCCTAAAATTTAAAACCTCCCTGACCTCAGGGCCCTCAGGATGGAGTTCCTGGTCCTCTGTCTAGCATTTAAAGCCTCTCTGACCTCAGGCTGCTGACTGCTTTGTCTCATCTCCTCTGCTACAGCAGACAGTCCAGTCCAGCATCTTCTGAGCTAGTCCACCTTTTCATAGCCCTCAGACCTTCTCTCAAGCTCAAAATGCCTTTCTTATTTTGTCATGGCTCAGCAAACTCGCACTCACTCTTCAAGGCCCAACTCTACTGCCCCCTCCCCTAGAGGAAAGCCTTGGCCCTCCCATCCCTAGGGAGAGTTAATAGTTCCCATCCACATGCCCTCCATCCCATCCCTTCCAGTTTTGCCTGGTGCCTCTGGCACAACCTGTTATCTCCTTAGTCAGACCCTGACTCAGATTTACCTCTGTCCTGCCAGACTCCACCCAGGCCAGGAACTTGGAGGTAAAGGGGTCCTGGAGAAGCACCCACCCTCACTCAGGCACACAAGCACACACATCCACTCACACATACACTGGGCTTCCCTTCCTCCCACTACCTTTCACCTCACCTCCCACATCAGGTTTCTGCAAGCATCCTGCCTAAGTTCTCAGTGGGAGGTAAGTCTTGGAGCAGGGGTCTTCAATCCCCAGGCCCCAGCCCATGGCCTGCTAGAAATTGGGTTGCACAGCAGGTAAGTGGCTTACAAGTGAGTGACGCTTCGTCTGTATTTACAGCCGCTCACCATTGCTCGCATTACTGCCTGAGCTCCACCTCCTGTCAGATCAGCAGTGGCATTAGATTCTCAAATTCTAGGATTCTAGGGCTCCAGGAGTATGAACCCTATTGTGAGCTGTACAAGCAAGAGATCCAGGCTGTACATTCCTTATGAGAATCTAATGTCTGATGATCTGTCACTGTCTCCCATCACCCCCAGATGGGACCATCTACTTGCAGGAAAACAAGCTCAGGGCTTCCTTCACCATACATTATGGTGAGTCGTATAATTATTTTATTATATATTACAATGTAATAATAATAGGAATAAAGTGCACAATAAGTGTAATGTGCTTGAATCATCCTGAAACCATCCCTGCCCTCCATACATGGAAAAATTGTCTTCCACAAAACCAGTCCTTGGTGCCAAAAAGGTTGGGGACTGCTGTCCTGGAGGGCACCTGCTCCCTCCTGCATCCTCAACCTCAACTCACTCAGTCAACTAAATATTTATAAAAGGTCATGCACAGTGGCTCAGGCCTGTAATCCCAGCACTTTGGGAGGCCAAGGTGGTGGGATCACTTGAGGCCAGGAGTTCAAGACCACCCTGGCCAACATGGCAAAACCCCATCTCTACTAAAAATACAAAAATTATCCCGGTGTGGTGGCATTCACCTGTAGTCCCAGCTGCTCAGGAGGCTGAGGCAGGAGACTTGCTTGAACCCAGGAGGTGGAGGTTGCAGTGAGCCAAGCTCATGCCACTGCACTCCACCCTGGGTGACAGAGCAAGACTCTGTCTCAAAAAACAAAACTACCTATTAAGAACCTTCTATATGCCAGGCATTGTGTTGTACACTAGGAACGCATTTTGAACGAACATGTAAAATAACTACAGGCTATAAGCAGTACTATCAAGGAAATAAAAAAGGCATTACAGTAGAGCATAAGGGATTCTCTTCATATATGGAATCTGGAAAGGCCTCACAGATAAGGTAACATTTGGGCAGAGGACTGAGGTGGTAAGATAGCATCTGTGCAGGTATATCCGGGGGGATTACATTCCAGGCAGAAGGCACAGGAAACCCTAAGGCCCTGGGCAAGCAGTGACTGAAGTGGTGTAAGTGAGGTAGCTGGAAGTAGTAGATGAGGTCATCAGAGAGATGTGAGAGAGAGAAGGCTGTGTTGGCCCTTGTGAGCCACTGTTCCATGGATAGCAGGACTATGCAAACCCAAAGACCGAGGGAGCTGAGAAGCCAAAGAAAGAGGTTAACAAATCCAGTTTCTCAGAGAGAAATATATAAGAGGGACTTATGAACAGAAGTGATGTCTCGGGTGGCTGCAAGACTGAATCCTGACACCAGCCATCCAGAAAGTATCCTTTATATAGCAAACTCTTAGGATAAAACGTGTGCAGCTGGTCCCGTCTTCAGACTTTCTTGCCAAGACTTGTGACCACTGGGGAGGTTAGATAAGCATCTTTATGAAGAGTTTTCTA